CTGCTGGCTGCTTGCTGCTGCTGCTGCTGCTGACACTACCGCTACTACTACTTTTACAACCACTACTGTCAATATTACTACTAATATTCTTACCCCCATCACTACTACTAGTAACGCGAACGCTACTGCTACTACTCGACGTAAACGGCGTACAAACAGCTTGGCTGTAAACGAGGCTGACGGTGTGACTCGGCTAATAATCGTGCATCTTATTTGGCGAGAATAAAGCTATGAGGGAGGCACTACGGTCGCCAGTCGGAGCAAGCGCATGTCACATCGGCTCCGTCGATTTGTGAATGTTTCCGGAGGTTTTTCGAACTCTACCCTTGAAAGTGGCACACCATCGGACAGATCAAGTCATCGTGAACCCACGGATACCAGATTTTTGGGTGAGCGTGAGCTTTACGAGTTTTAAGGCTCGTAAACTGCAAGAACTATACGAGTGAGCGTCGACGCCTAACGGTGGTTGGGCATGGCGCATACCGCGTCTAACTCGAAGACTGGAAGAACAGCCGAGATGGATGCAGACGAGGCGAGGGACAGGGGAAGCCACGTACCACAGAACTGAACAAACAAGAAGCGTTTCCACGAGTGAAAACGAAGACGCTGACAGCGTTGCAGATGGCTGGATTGAAGTTACACGAAAAAAAAAAAATAGAGGACGCGGGAGCCAAAACAAAGTGGTGAGACAAGAAGACGCCCGTTCACCAAGCCCGATGCGCCAAGGCCGCCTAAGCATTGTCAGCAAGGTTCTACGAGCAAGCAAGAGGACCAGACTGCCCAGGGACGATATCAAGGTAATTGTTCGATCGAGGGACGGGCTGAATATAAGGAGCACGTGCGGTGCGAGTCTTGATGAGGCGATACGCAACGGAGCAGGAGTGGGTGGGTGGTGGTGGTGAAAACATTTAATAACCATTAAATGGTTACAGAGAGGTGATTGGGTTGGGGCCTTATTGGCCTCCTACCCTCACTGCACTAGGTGGAACCCCTATTCCGGGGCTCCATTGGCAAGCAACGCCGCCCGCGCACGTTGAACCAGAGCCTCTTGGGTTTTCAGGTCTTGACAGCCGAGCAGGGCCGCCTCCCAGTCCTCTCTCGTGGGATTGGGGTTGGGGGGGATAGATGGATTAGACTGGCACGCCCAGACGATGTGAAAGGTGTCAGCCACCTCACCACAGAACTGGCACGTGCCATCAAAGGATGAATTGAAATGTTTTAGCACCGCCGGGCACAGTACAGTATTGGTAAACAGTTTTAAAAGGAGGCGCTCGTCAGCGCGATGCAGTCCCTTACAAGGGTCTGGATAGCGCCGGTGCTCCTCCTTGTAGTAATTGGTAATATCTTTGAATGAAAGCGCCGAATTGTCTGATTGCGAGTAGGCTTCCAAAGACAGGGAGATAGCCCGGGAAGAGAGTGCGCGGGCGGCCTGATCGGCCTGTTCGTTACCCCTGAGTCCTTGGTGACCGGGTGCCCAAACCAGATTTCACGGAGTTGGATTAACGTATCGGCAGCTAGGTTCCAGTATGCGCTGAGCAAGCGGTGAAGCCCACCCTAGCTGATAGTTCCGACAGGCCCCTCGTGAGTCGGTGATGATATGTTTAGAAGAGGGATAGGTGAGAGCCAGAGCGATGGCAACCTCCTCCGCGTGCGTTGCGCTGTAGGCTTTGAAAGTGAGCCCGTTTACGGTGTTTGCGTTGTGTATGACTGCGGCAGTATACCACCCCCCATGGTGCGGGCCGGCAACGTCCACGTAGCACACGTGTTCCTCTTGACCAAAGTGTCGCTGCAACGCTTCCGCGCGCGCCTGGCGGCGACCACTGTGGTTTTCTTTGGACATGTTGCGGGGAAGGGGTCGGACCCGGAGGGCGCGTCTCCAAGGTTCTGGCACTCTCACCCTTTCCTCAATATAGTAATCGTGTTTGATGTGTATTCGGTCCAAGAGGCGGCGACCGGAATGGGTCTGTGCAAGGCGCGTGTATTGGTTAACGAGGTGGGCTTCTCGAAGTTCCCGGTAGGTATTCACCACGCCTAGGGCCAGAAGTCTCTGGTTGGACGTGGTGATAGGGAGGTCGAGAGCCCGCTTGATAATTTTACGGTGGATGACCTCGAGTTGATCATCCTCGTGTTTGCGTAGGTGCAAGTAGGGAGTCGAGTAGAGTATTCTACTCGTTACGAAAGCATGGGCAAGCCGCATTGCATCCCTGCTTCGTAATCCGCCCCGCTTGTTGGAGACCCGGCGGACCATACGGCCCACCTGGTCTCCCACCGTGCGAAGTTTGGCTATTGTGGTGTCGGCCTTGCGTTGGTGGTGTATGAAGAGGCCAAGGACGCGGATCTCCTTGGCCTCACGGATCGGTCCCGAGGGAAGACTGATATGGAGCTGAGTTGTGTCCTGAGGGGAGGGACGTACGTGCACAAATTCTGACTTAGCCGGGGCACACTGGAGTCCGCAGTAGGTTGCGTAGTCGTCGACTACAGTCGCTGCTGCTTGCAGGCATGACTCCATGTGACCCAGGTTACCTTGCGTGGCCCAGATCGTGATATCATCCGCGTAAAGAGCGTGATGTATCCCTGGTAAAGAAGCCAATTTGGGGGGAAGATGAAGCATGGCTATATTAAATAGGAGAGGAGAGAGGACCGCGCCTTGAGGAGTTCCCTTCGAGCCGATGACGTAAGGCCCATGTTCCTCATCTTGTATGCGTATGTAGGCTCGACGGTCTGTAAGAAACTGTCTAACATAATTGAATGTTTTATAACCACAGTTGGTCTGACTGAGGTGGTCAAGGATTACCTCATGCTTCACGTTGTCGAATGCTCCTTTAAGATCCAAGGCCAGGACTACCTTGTCATTGTGGGAGCATTCAACAGGATCTAATATGTCATGGTGGAGCTGTAGAAGTATATCCTGGGCTGACTTCTGAGGGCGGAATCCAAACATGGTGTCCGCAAAAGTGTGCTGTGTTTCTAGAAACTCGGAGAGTCTGTCGCGCACCATCGTTTCCATCAGCTTGCCGACACAAGACGTGAGGGAGATGGGGCGAAGGTTCTCCACGTCAATAGGTTTACCTGCCTTCGGGATGAAGGTCACGAGAGCTGATTTCCATTCAAGAGGGAGAGGAGTTTCTCCGTCCCAAATGCTATTGATGTATTTGAGGAGCGTGGCGTAGGCTGCGTCGGGAAGATTGGCCAACAGTTTGACCGTAACCTGGTCACGCCCTGGTGCAGTGCCACGCTTCATCTTGCGTAAGGCCGCCTGGAGGTCGTGGAGCTGGAATGGGGTGTCCAACTGCGTGTTCTTTTTGCCTGCGTAGGAGTATGCGGCCGTCCGGGGGTCCTTGGTGGTGCACAGGTATCGGTCCCTGAGCGTGTTTGCCAGCTGTGTTGTCGTTCCTGTAAAGTTGTGCATGACCTTATGTAAGTGACGTTGAGTTTCCGTGCGTGTTTGTGTTGGAGCAGGAGTGGGCGACGACGAGATGATCACGATCTGCCCCAACCCCATGCAAAACATTTTGGTGATAAGCACACCGGAGGAAAGCACAGCGACGAAAATCGCCAAGATGAAGGTTTTGACTATCAACGGAAAGAGGTACGAAACGAACGCATATGTTTCAGTGCCTAAGAATATGACAAAAGGAATCATACGCATTGTACCTCTTAAATATAACCAAGATCAGCTCGTGGAAGCACTGGTGAACACAAGAAACCCCTCTCTAACGTATGCGAAGAGGCTCGGTAGTACGACAAACGTGATACTGCTCTATGAAGGAAACCGAGTTCCTTCGTGGGTTTACTTCAACAGCGTTATGATAAGAGTATCTCTGTACCGGAAACAGATAGACTTCTGCAAGGAATGTGGCAGACTCGGCCACAGACCTGACGTGTGCCCAAGACCGGGCATCAAACTGTGCCCAATTTGTGGGTTAAAAAACCCCATCAATGGACACGAGTGTACGCCTCAGTGCCGAATTTGTGGTGAGGCGCACCCCATGGCTGACCGGATGTGCAAGGTCAAATACAAGGTGCCGCACATAGTGAAGCAGAGAAGGTGGAAGGCCAGGTTCAGAGACTTTCAAGAGTGAACCCCGTCATCATCGGATAGCAATGTTGGTGCGGTGGAAGGAGGCCGCCCTAGACGCTCGAGATCCAGAACCCGCTCCCAACAGGTCATGGGTAGTTCAACCAGATCCGGATCCCCTTCGTTGGTAAAAAGACGGAGCAAAAGTCGTAGTACGAGCAGAAGTCGGAGTCGGAGCAAAAGCCGCAGCGAGAACCGACACCACCCCCAACAAGACATAGGAGGGGCCACACCTGGCGGGAAACAGAAAGGGCCGCGCAAAATCACCTGGCGTGACATAGTCACGGGAACAAAGACGGACTCCACACAGGGGCACCATCTCTCCGGCCACCCGCGGGCAGCCACCGACCCCGGCCTGGCAGCGAGGATGGAGAACATGGAGAAAGAGAATAGGGAGCTTAGACAAGAGTGGCGGTGGGCTTTAAGCCTAAGAGCCCAAGCGATTCTCAACATTTTAAAGGCGCTGAAAATCACACGCAAGAACCGAAGCGGGCACGACCGGCAGGCCGAAGGATAGACGCGATCGAAGAAATGGTAGACAAACTAACCAACAAAACAGAGCGACTGTTTGAGACGCTCCTCATTCGGCTGAATGAGTCTGACGCCGAAAGGAACGCACAGTATGCCGTGGTCAATAACCAACTTACGGCCATGAATAAGCGCCTCGAGTATCTGGAACGCGGGACGGCGCAGTTGCAGCAACAGGGACAAGGCCACGACGAATTGGGAGAAGACGCATCGACCATTTTTAACAGAAGCAGCAATGTCAACACCACCCACACTGAAAAAGGAGAGACGCCCGGACAGTCGCGTTCCCCCAACGCCTTTGAATAGCAACCATGGCTGCGTCCCGCAAGTTTGTCGGCAGACGCACCGTCTGGCAATGGAACTGTAGGGGCTTCAAAAACAAAAAAAAGCTACAATGGTGCAATATATGAAAACTCTCTCGAAAAGCAAGCTTCCCGACGTGATTGCTTTGCAAGAACCTTTCGACCGGGCTCAGCTACCAGGCTATGTGGCATGTGGCTCTCCGTGTGAATGCTCGCGGAAGGACATAAAGGTGTGTACCCTAGTTGAGAGAAGGACGGCCTTTATCGACCATTCACTTGATATCAGCGAGGAGTCGGACATAGAGCACAACCTGATTGAGGTCGTGCTCTGCATGGGAAACCAGAAGACCGGCCTATTCGTGCTTAACGTGTACAGCCCCCCTTCAAAAAGAGGCCTTACGCACAAATTTGGCGCCCTTTTTCACGAAGCGATGGCGAAGGCCGCCTCCAGTTCCCTCTTAATCTGCGGAGACTTCAATGCACCACACACGCAATGGGGATATGGAGCCGACTCGCCCAAAGGGAAGAGGCTAGCCGAACTGATGGACGAGCTTGGCTTGGTTCTACTCAATGAACCGGCATCGCACACCCGGATTGGACAGGGCGCGTGCCGCGACACGTCCTCTGATCTTTCCATTTGGTCAGACACGGGCGCGATCACCTGGTCGAACACCTTTGAGGATCTGGGGAGCGACCACAGAGTCCTGTGCATGACAATGGGAAAGGATAGAGACAAAATGGACGGCTGCCAAAAATCTAGAGTCGTGGACTGGGAGAAGTTTCGAGAGCAAAGAGAACGAGAGAAGCAGGAAGGGCCGATCGAGGATATCGGGGAATAGTGCAGGGAACTACTCGCGGACGTAGAAAAAGCTACAAGAGTAATAGAATGGCCAGACAGGCGAAAAGAGCCTGAAGGTGGCGACAGGCCCTGCGGAAACGTCGAAGACAGCGTTCCCGAGCTGTCCAGGTTGGATAGCCGGCTTGCGCATCTTGTAGAGGCCAAGAAATCTATGCAGCGAAGAGCGAGTCAGCAGAAACTGAACAGGAAGCTACGTAAGAAGATTGCCGAGATCAACCAAGAGATTGAGGCCCACTGCGTTCGACTGTGCGAACAGGAATGGCAGGAGCTGTGCGATACGATGGACGGAAACATGATTGCGAGGCGCACATGGAAGATTCTCAGGCACCTGCTGGATCCAACGAGCACGAGAACGGCGACTCGTGTCCAGATGGCCAATCTGCGACACAAAGACGACCCGCAGGTTTTCGTGGAGGAGATCATCCAGACGCACCTCACTCGCCCGGCAGGCGAGAGTCACATGGAATACTGGGGGGCTTCCAACGAGGAACTAGGCGCGGAAGTTTCCATGCAAGAAATTAGAGCAGTCCTCCAGCTACTGAAGACTAAATCGGCGCCCGGTCCTGACAAGATCACCAACCGAATTCTGAGGAACATGAATGATGACGCCATCGAGAAGCTACGTCAGTATATCAACACATGCTGGAAGGAAGGTCGTTTTCCACAAGAATGGAAGACAGCGGATGTCATACTAATACCCAAGCCAGGTAAACCGCTTGAGGTTCGAACTACGAGGCCGATATCTCTGACGTCCTGCGTCGGGAAAGTCACGGAGCACGCCTGCCTCAACAGGGTGACAACGATTCTCGAGAAGCGGTATGCTTTCGGCACTCACATCATCGGCTTCCGCGAGGACTTTCGACGCAGGATGCTATGCTGCAAATCAAGGAACAGGTCATTATTGCACCAAGCACGTACGTGTGCGCCCTGCTCAGGTTAAACCTCAAAAGTGCCTTCTATACAGTAAAACATGCTGCCATTTTGGACAAGATCAGCCAACTAGGTCTTGGTTCAAGGTTCCACCGGTACGTCAGCACTTCCTGACCGGACGCAAGGCGACGGTGAAGGTCGACGGTGCCCCACCACGAACAGTTGACATGGGGAGTGCGAGTACGCCACAGGGCTCGGTGCTCTCTCCCATGCTTTTCAACCTCATCATGATCGGACTACCGGACCGTCTCGACGCAATAGAGGGCATCAATCACACGATCTACGCAGACGACGTGACTGTGTGGACCACAGCGAATACGAGCGTAGGTGAAATGCAAGAGAGAACGCAGCAGGCTGTCCGGGCTGTGGAGCGGCACCTCGAAGGCACGGGACTCGTCTGCTTTTCCGATAAATCGGAAATACTCCTGCATAGACCACGCAAGAAAGGACCCCACCCACAGGCTATACTGGACGCCCATCGCTTGGGCATCCGCGTCATGACGAAGGAGGGGACCCAAATACCAACGGTGTCCAAAATACGAGTGCTCGGCCTGTGGCTGGAAGAGAACGGTACGAACCACGAGCTGGTAGCACGACTGCAAAAGAAAGTGGCCGCCGCAACACACCTTGTGCGTCGGGTAGCGAAAAAAAGAAAAGGGTTAAAGGAACACAACGTGACGAAGTTAATACATGCGTATACGCTGAGTCACATAGCGTATGTCGCCGCGTATGCCGACTGGAACAGAAGCGAAACCGAGAAGCTGAACGCGGCGATTCGTCGACCGTTCAAGGTAGCCCTGGGTGTGCCCCAGTACACGGAAACCCGTAGGCTTCTGGAGCTGGGTGTGCACAACACCCTCGACGAGATAGCAAAAGCGCAGAGGATCGCGCAGCTCGAGAGGCTGTCTGGCACAAGAACGGGAAGACGCATTCTCGATCTGCTTGGGATTCGATATCACGAGGCACGTGGACTGAAGGAAGCATTGCTACCGGAAGTCAGGGACGCCATACTGACAGAAAATATCCTCAGGAACATGCAGCCCGTTCACGACTTGCAACAACGCAAATGCAGAGCTGCAGCAATCCTGAAGGCGCATGGAAGCCAAGAGGGTGTCCCCTTCGTCGATGCGGCCAGGTATCCACTGTCAGCCGGCGGCGGCTATGGGTGACGCTCGGAACCCCCGCCGCTACCCGTGAACGAGCGAGGCGAAGTCGAGGCGCTAACACTACCACCACTGCTACTGCTACGACAACAACGACTGCAGCGACAGCGGCAACATCAACAGCGAGTCTGGTCAGCGGCGGCGGGACCCGCTTTCTCTATGGCGGTCCTGGATACAACAGGAAGGGTTCGGGTCACGGCATCAGCACGGCTGCCATCATCCGAAGCTGCAGAAGAAATGGCCATAGCTTTAGCGGTACTCCACAGTGCAGACGACAGCCTAATTATTATCGATTCTAAATCAGCGATTCGGAGCTATATTAAAGGATGGGTGTCTGAAGAGGTGGCACGCATGCTTAACGCCAGAGCTGGGGACTTCGCTTCAGGCAAGATTACTGACAAGGCCCTCAAGTGGTTTCCCGCTCACATGGGGGACAGTGGAACTATCAACAACAACAGCCGTAAAACTAGCAGCAACAACGCCAACAGCCAAAGACTAATTGGCATCCCACCCAACCATAACGAGCGCGCCCACCTCGTCGCGAGGCAACTTACCAATGCCACCTAAAAAAAAAGTTCAGGCCTGCTCACTGCCGCCGTGACGTCACGCGTGTTGACCGAGCCACGCGGGCGGCGCGTCTCGTCGCCTACCGCGGAAACAAACGATCGCTTGGAGTTCCACATATGTGACTGCTTTATTTTGCATTTTGCACTGTAATCAGCGCTGCTTTAAGCAAGCCACGACGCTTTAACGTTCGTTCTCACTTATACACATAGCGGTGGCAACAACAAAATGACGTCGGCCTCGGAAGTTTATAATGAAGAGAAATGAGTACGACGGACATTGGATTTGCACATTCATTTTACTAACATTTCATCTGTTGGCCCAGCCTTTGTCAAAGAAGTACATGTTTTCGGTTTCCTTATGTACAGACTATAAATAATAGTGCTGCGCACAATAATCACAAAGAGCATGAAAATTCGAAATAGCGATAACGCCGGCGAGGTTGATCATACGCAAGTTATATCTAATTGGTCATTACAGACACATGCTGTGCTCGCAATGATACAGATAGATGGCGCGTGACAAAAAAAAAAAAACAATCAGGTTCAAAGCTGGTCGAGTTCATTATTGATCATCATGCCATATAGGTGAAGCAGAGCCCTCTGAATGAAAACTCTTAAGGGAATAAAGAAAACACGCACTTGCTACACTCGCAACTAATTTTATCAATCGCTAGTATACTAAGCATTGCAATGCAAAACACTCCAGTGCAATATACAAAACACTGAAATGAGGCAACCAGGTGGCATACAGTAAGTACAGAAACAAATCATTGATTTACTAAGCAATATGTTGCAGACCACTCGAGAACAATAAAATGGCGAAGATGATAATAAAGCCTCGCGCAACCGTGCAGGCAGAATGCAGGTGATACACGCTTCTCAGTAACCGCCATAGTAAGCAATATGAATGGCGAGGGCTTTCATTGGCGTGTACGGTAAAATACCCTGTTGTGCAGAGACTATGAACGCTACAGTAACATAACTTCACTGTATGAGAAAAGAATAAATGAGAGTTTTTGAAGAAAAAAGCTGTGTCCTTCACATTTGCAATGTACATAGAACGCACAAAAACTTCCTGTTCATTTTGAAAACTTCTGCAGCTTCCTTTGCTGTGACTGCGTTTTTTTTAGTGTTCAAAATATCTGTCTTCATCTGAACGTAGTTTTTCAGAAGGGTGTTTGCTGCTGCCACAAGTATATTAGTCAGCACAGTGTCAGGGTGATGACCATTGGTACAGACATCAAAATCCTCACATTCGCAAAGGTTCCTTGTGATAAACACAAGGACCTCCCTCTGTTTAGGAGTTGCATGAAAACGTGAGGCATTCTCTTTGCTGGTAAGCTGTTCCAAGACAATGTGGGCGTGTAGAACTGCATTAATGACAGTCGGCTGGGGAAACTTCAGAGCGCCTCTCGAGAGGTTTTCATTCAGGACATTTCTCTCAAGCTGAATTTCCCGGTCCTGAGATGTAATATTCATGGCACAATACTCACAAGGCAGCTTCTTTAACGCGGCGTGTGCACAAAATGCTGCAATGTACGTAATTACTGCCAAATTGGACTCCCTATTTTTTATATCACAGTCTGATATCTTAACACCGTACTCCTGTGCCAGTTGAGCTCCGTCAAATGTTATAGCACATGGCTTCTGTATTTCCTGCATATCGGGCAAAACCAAACTGTCTTGTAGCCTCAGCTTCTTTTCTGACTCGAATACTTGCTGTATTGATATGTGGTAATTTGTTCCAGAGAGCCGACGGTACTGTCCGAACCTTTCCTCCAAACTGTCGGTCTGAAATTTACCCAGCAAGACATAGTTTAAATTCAGTTCTTCAAGATGGTACCGGCACAGTTCGACAAGCGAGTAACAAGTAAGCCGCAGCGCTGCATGGGTTTCTGTGGTTAATGCCCCGGTATCCATCCTGATGTCTCGCCAGGTGTCCAACCAGTCTACAAAATTGTTAAGAAATTCGATCTGCTTGTCACTCAAACTCCTTACTGGATCATGAAGCGGATCTCTGAGGCGCCGGCCCTTTGAGGGGCTTTTTACATTGACAATATGCCACCACTTCAAAATTAGGTCAATGAATTGCGCTGTCCCCGCGGCGTAGTTCAAACTGAGTTCGTTTCCGCGAATTTTTAGCGCCTCCACCACAAATGAACTGAAAACTTTCAAAGCAAGCTTCACGTTCTGGCGCTCAATGTTGGATGGATGCAGTGATTTATAGCTCAATCCATAGCCAAACTTTGAGACACTGTGTTGCTCAGAAGCATGCAGGTCCCGAAGAGCTTTGAAAGAAGCTCCGTTTACCTGAACTAACG